TTCATCCTTAAAGGTTGCCTCCAGGTGTCTCTTTTTTACGTATTTGCTCGCTATAACAAACACACACAAAACAACACCAAACCCTAAACCCTAAACCCTAAACCCTAAATTTTTATTTCAATAAACAAAACCTTCAAGGCAACTCCCTAAGCTGCTGGTGTTGCTGCTGCTGCTGCTGCTGCTGCTGCTGCTTACGGCCAAGGCCGCGGTCGTCGATTTCGAGGACGAGCTGAGAGGAGCAGCAGCACAAGAAGAGACAGAAGGAGGATGAGGGTTTAGGGTTTAGGGTTTAGGGTTTAGCGCTACTGGCAGCTGCAGAGTAGGGTTTACCCCGGTAGGGTTTAGGGTTTAGGGTTTAGAGGAGAACAACCCCACCCCCTGTATTGAGGGTTTAGGGTTTGTAGCACCGCCATTCACTGGACCCCTAGGGTTTAGGGTTTAGGGTTTAGGGTTTAGGGTTTGTGGTTACTTTTTTTTCTGGTGAATAAAAGGAGACGTTGTAGGGGCCGAGCTGTTCGTTATAAATCCAAACCCCAGCAGCAGCTGTTTTTCCTAGTGTGTTCATCTGGTGGGGTTGTTGTTTTTCTGCTGCTGCTGCTGCTGCTGCTTCTGCTGCTGCTCCTGCTGCTGCCCCTGCTGCTGCCCCTGCTGCTGCTCCTGCTGCTGCTCCTGCTGCTGCTGCTGCTGGTGCTGCTGCTGCAGGTGCAGGCGGTTGCTCCGGGGCCCCCCGTGTCTCCGCGGGGGCCCCCAGTGTCTCCGCGGGGGCCCCCAGTGTCTCCTCGGGGGCCCCCAGTGTCTCCTCGGGGGCCCCCAGTGTCTCCTCCGGGTCTTCAAGTGTCTCCTCAGGGGCCCCCAGTGTCTCCTCGGGGGCCCCCTCTGGGGGCCCCTGCTGCGAGGTTTTGACCTCGTACCCTAATTTCTCTAGTGCTCTTCTTATAGTGAAATGCATGCGCCGGCTCTGGCGTCTGTCTTGCTGCAGCAAAGCCCGAGATGCGTCTGCTGCTGCTGCATGCAGCGATGCCTGCAGCAGCAACAGCAGCAGCAGCAGCAGCAGGAGAAACAGCAGCAGCAGCAGCAGCAGCAGCAGGAGAAACAGCAGCAGCAGCAGAAAGCAGAGAGGCAGGAGGTTGTTATAGATAAGATACACCCCAAGGCAACCTAAACCCTAAACCCTAAACCCCAAACCCTTAACCCTAAACCCTAAACCCTAGAAAACGAAACAAAGCAAGGTGAGGATACACCCGAAAACAACCTAAACCCTAAACCCTAAACCCCAAACCCTAAACCCTAAACCCTAAACCCCAAACCCTAAACCCTAAACCCCAAACCCTAAACCCTAAACCCTAAACCCTAAACCCTACCGGTATTTCTACGTTGGGCAAGAGGTCCTTAGATAATTCTATTTCCTTCAGTATATCCTAAAAGGAGACAAAATAAATAAAAATAAAAATAAACAAATTAAACAAATATATAATAACTATATTAATATCTTTTATATATATATATAATAAAGAAAGACAGGAAGAGAGAAAGGAGACAGAAGGAGACAAAAAGAGGGAGAAAGGAGACACAGAGGAGGGGAAAAGGAGACAAAAAGGAGACGGAAAGGAGACAAAAGGAGACAAGGAGAGAAAGGACACAGAAGGAGACAAGGAGAGAAAGGAGACAAAAAGGAGACAAAGAAGAGAGGGAGAAATGAGACAAAAAGGAGACAAAGAAGAGAGATAAAGGAGACAAAAAGGAGACAAAGAAGAGACAGAGAAAGGAGACAAAAATGAGACAAAAAGAGAGACAGAGGTGACAAGAAGGGAAAGGAGACAAAAGGAGACAAAAAAGAGAAAGAAAGGAGACAAAAAGGAGACAAAAAAAAGAGAGAAAAGGAGACAAAAGGAGACAGAAGAGAAAGAGAAAGGAGACAAAAGGAGACAAAAAAGAGAAAGAAAGGAGACAAAAAGGAGACAAAAAAAAAGAGAAAAAGTGTACAGGTATAAAGACAAGAGAAGCAGGCTGATCTGTCTCCACTCTCTTTAATGAAGACTGCAGCAGCGAGGAGACAGCAGCACAGCTCCAGCTGTCTCCGGAGACACCCGGGTCAAACGCCCGCATCGCACATAACGCCCAACATAAACGCTGCAGCAGCAACAGCAGCAGCAGCAGCAGCAGCAGCAGCAGAAGCAGCAGCAGCAGCAGAAGCAGCAGCAGCAGCAGAAGCNCAGCAGCAGCAGCAGCAGCAGCAGCAGCAGAAGCAGCAGCAGCAGCAGAAGCAGCAGCAGCAGCAGAAGCAGCAGCAGAAATAGAAAAAGAAGAGATTAAGGAAAAGGAAGGGGGGGGGGAGGAGGGAAGATGCCTCAGGAGACAGTGGAGACAAAACAAAAGGAGACAGAGACAGGAGACAGAAAAAAAGGAGACAGAAAGAAAGGAGACAGAAATAAAGGAGACAAAAAGAAAAGAGACAACAAAGAAGAGACAGAGGACACAGCAGCAGACAAACGCCTGAGAAGAGGCAAAAGGAGACAAAAGGAGACAAAAGGAGACAAAAAGGAGACAAAAAAACAAAAAGGAGACACAAAGGAGACAACAAAAGGAGACAAACAACACAGATAAATGGAGACAGAATAAAAACAAAAAAAGAAAGAAACAAAACAAAAGCAAAAGGAGACAAAACAAAAACAAAAGGAGACAAAACAAAAACAAAAGACAAGAGGAGACAAAAAAAAAAATAAAACAAAAGACAAAAAAAAAACAAGACAGGAAAAAGAAAAAAAGAATTACAGTG